CAGAGCTCAGTGCCAAAAAAAAAAAAAAAAACCATTCATTTCGCGGGCTCCAACACGATAATCCACGACAGCCGGCAGAAGTGCAGTCAATCGTCTACATCAGCATTTTCCACGCTCGCAGCTCATCTGCATGAGCGTGTTAACAGAACATATACAGCTCATCCACAAAGGCACACAGCTAGCCGCGAATCAAATATCATTTAACCAAATATATACCCTCCCCGAATTCGGAAAAAAAAACAAAAGAGAGAGAGAGAAAGACAGGGAAAAAAAACAAGACTCAGAAAGACACTTTTTTTTTATTGTACAAGCAGCAGCAGCAGGAGGTGCAGCAAGAGCATCAAGAAAGGCAAGCAGCATAATGCACAATCATATAAAAGTTATTTTCGCATCAATAAAATCATCCCCGCGTATCATACGAAAAGAAATGATCGGGGATCTCGAAAAATTGGCGCTATATTCGAGTGAGTGAAATGTGCTGTGTTTCGTGTGTGGGTGCAGATGAGGGTCGTCCTCCTGACGGGGGTCATTGTCGTCGTGGCGTGGTGGACGCCGCCGGCGACGAATGCGGCGCCCATGATGGGACTCGGGCGCACGGACGACGCCGGCCCGATGGGCACCGAGGTCGCATTTGACTCCGGAAGCGTCTCTGTTCCGGTTAATGCCGTGGAACCCGGCGACGACGACGATTCGAAAACTGCGAGGTAAGACGGAGAAAATGAAAAAAAGAAAAAAAATCGACAGCCAATATTAATAAATACGATGCAGTGCTGCTCAACTCAGACATGGCCAAGGGCAATATTCCCGTACTCACTTAAGTACCTCAAAAAATAAAGAAATAAAAAAACAAAAAAGAGGTAAAAAAGAAGGTGCGCGTCATTCAGTCGAGTAGAAATTCCCCAATACATTTTCTTCAATTTCAAACGTTTTCCCCCACTTGAAGATGCTTTTATTTCCAGTTATTTTTAAAAATGGTTCTCTGTTATTTCGCATGAGACAAAACATCAACATTGATGTCAATTTCCAAGTAGACTTGATGTATTTAGATTTTACCCGACGTAGTTTTCCAAATTTTACCTTTATTTAATTCAGTGCTTTGCATTGATTCACAATCATAATCATCCTGGCCTTGCAGACTTTTTGAAGAGAGGAGCAACATTTTAAATTTTAAAATCCATCTCTCAACATAAATTTTCGAATGGTGGTGACGTCACCCACATTAAAAATTATAAGGAAAGGGACCGCGGGATGTTTGAAGTGCCTCTGGGCCGGATTCGGCCCGCGGGCCGTAAGCTATGCAGCACTTAAATGTAAGTTTATTTTTTCGCGAAAATAATTGAAATTTGAATAAAGAACCTCGCAAAGAAAAACTCATCTGAGATGCCTGTCATTGCATTTGTGAAGCGAAAAGCAGTGTAAGTGATTCTCCGAAGCATCTTGAATAATGTGATCCTATGGAGTCCATTGCATTAAAACCTGAATCCTGGAAAACTCGAAGACAAATAAAGTATTAATTATTCTACACAGATTGGTCATTAACTATTAACGAATTCCCGTAGCATAACGAACAAAAGGAACTCTTGCACAATTCAAGTGAACATTCCCCCCCTATAATTCGGCCAACAGAAATTAAAAAAATGTCAACAAAAAAGAAAATTAGCACACTGTCCTCATCAAATTCACGAAATTGAAGGAGATGAAAAATGTAGTCCTCTAGCTTTCAACCTGTGTCAAATTTCGTCACTATTTATCGAAAAATAATGAGTTGAAAGGTATTCTCGTCAAAATTTGTAGCAAAATTTTCCGCCATATGCAAAGTACGAACTCATCATTAAAGTATGCGTCGTTGAAGCTGCTGTATGTGGGTCGTAACCATTAATAAATAGAGAACATCATCTGAAAATAACAGTACTGTACTTCTTTTCCTCGCAACATTGGCATTAGATCCCATCTCATTAAAAAAAAAAAGTCGTGGTTTTATCCCCAAGACCACACGTATCCTGTCAAAATGAGAAGAAACAAAGAAAATCTCGACAAATTGATTCTTTTTCAAATGAAACGCCTAATACACTTTCATTTTTCTGAAGTACAACGAAAAAGAAAAAAACTTTTGGGTTTAGTAATGGATCAAGCTGAAAACACGCAAAAGCGGCGACTGAAAGACGAACTCAGTGTTACACTATTTAATGCGGAGATTGCATTTTAAAATAAACGTGAAATATTTCAAGCTTTCCGATTAGAAGAAGCAAGAATAGCTGTTAAAAACCCGATTGTCCTGTGGAAAAAGCTTCCAGCAGCAGCAGCTCAAGATCCAATGCAACTTTCTTCCAAAATGCAAAGTAAACCTTTTCTGATTCGCCGATGAGTTGCGAAATACAATACTATATTTCTAGGAATAATTGAAACAAATCCTTCTATGTTTCAGCTGCACATTGATCTATTTCGGAAAAAAAGTTAGTCCTGCAGGACGGATATTATATGTGCGAAGATGCCATGGTGTTCAAAGTACTGTACTGTACTGTACATTAATGCAAAAATTGGGCATCGACCACATGGGTTGAAAACAGCGTTTCATAATTCATAATAATTTCCAAATTTTCGAACAAAAAAAGCAATCATCTAAGGAGTCCCAATGACGGACGAGGAACTCAATAATTCATTTCGAAATATTTTACTGCACTAGCTGCATGTATTAGAAAAAAAAATAACAAGAAAAAAGATCGAGTGCAACATTACAGCAGCTGACGGCACCAAGAGCATTGAATCCTCTTTTCACTTCATGAGATGGTTCGTTTTTAACGTTTACATCCACAATTTTACAAAAATTTTGACAATTACTCCGAGATAACCGTTCATGAACAAAATGAGCAATGCATGGAAAAACCATCAATTCTGTTAGAATTTCACAGCAGCATTCGATTTCCTGAATAAATTGAAAACACAAAAACTGAAGTTTTCCTTCTCTTTGAAAGGGGGAAACGATGGCTCGAGTTCCTCATAGGACACAATTTGCAAAACCCCTTCCTACCACCGGGACAGCCACTGTGGCCGAATGGGTTCGGCGGTTGGAACCCAGGGTTTCCAGGATTCCCAGGCGGGTTTCCCGGAATCGGAGGCGGGTTTCCCGGAATCGGAGGCATTGGTCTACTCGGATTGAATCCATTCCTCGGTCCTCCGGGCTTACTCGGACTCGGATAGAGTATAACTAATGATAATAATAATGAATAACTATGCAAGAACTACTGTATTAATTTTCTCGCCCGGAAGGCCATGCAATTTCGCTTCGACATTTTAAGCAATAATTCAGCCTATGATTGCCAATATAAACGCAGCCCCCCCTTGCCATCTAGCCAACATTTTTGCAACAGTGCAGCCTTGTTTCAAGCATGAATCATGTGATGAACATTTTGAAAATGGTGGTGGAATCGAATGACGTACGACATAAATGCGCACATTGCATGGAACTGTTTCAATTTCAATTCCCTGCTTCAGACGTTTTTACCCTAAAAATATATATGTACTCAGAAGATGTACTCTATATTTTTGTATCATAGCATATTGCATGTGCAGCAGACGGAAATGAGAACTTAAATTATGCGAGCTTTTTTTCAAGACTAGGACATGTATTCAAGAGGAGAAATTAACTTCGCTCAAGATTTAATAAGACGTTATCAATTTGTGTAAGGCGATGTTACAGCATGGCTCTTGATTTCATACATGGAAATACTGTACATGTTTTGGGGAAAGTCTCAAGCATTTCAATTGAAAATAGGGAAATAAAAGTATTGACAAGAACGTTCAGAGGCGATAAAAGAAAAGCCTCGGTGGAAATCTGCATTCAGAGAACGCTGTACTGTTTAACACTACGATACATCTCGAACCTCACGCAGTTGAATACCTCCATATTATTAAAATTTTCAAGTCCCTGTCTGAATTCCCATAGAAACAATGAATTAAAAACCTCCCCAACTCGGATGCTTTTCTTCTTACGCCTCCACGATTTGAATTTTCTGGGGGCTTTTTGGCTATTTTATTGACGCAGCAAAAAGAGAAGCAATACAAATCTAAGTTGATGTGCTTTAAAAAGAAAGTGGAAAACTATCTGTAATTGGGTAAACACTGAACCCTTGCCTCCTAGTTCAGGACCCTGTCAAATCATTTAGGAAGCAATTTGAGGTCCAAAAAATATCTCTAATTATAATTCCCAGCACTGTACTTACTTTTTCTTTCCCCGAAAAAAAAAGCTCGTTTCCGAAGCTGAAAAACCACCTCCCTAACTCGGATTTGTTCGCTGGTCCATTGAAATTCGACTTGATTGCTGGAGCTACAGTCTATATAAGATGAGACTTGATTTCTGTGAAACCCGAATATATTAAGCCTACGATCCAGACGATCGGAAATCATCATAATCCGGAATAAAAGACGGAATACAAATATCTCTCTAATTACACTTCCATGTAATTACATTTTCATTTTTCCCCCGAAGAAAAATGCTCGTTTCCGAAATTAAAAAACTACCTCCCTGACTCGGATTTGTTAGCTGGTCCATTGAAATTCGACTTGATTGCTAGAGTTACAGATTATATTAAAATGAGACTTAAATTCTATGAAACCCGAACATATTAAGCCAACGATCGGAAATCATAATAATCCGGAATAAGAAACGAAATAAAAATGCCTCTTTAATTACAGTTCCCTGTAATTAAACATTTTTCCCCCGAAAGAAAAATGCTCGTTTCCGAAACTAAAAACATCTCTAACTCGTATTTGTTAGCTGGTTTCTTTGAAATTCGACTTGATTGCTAGAGCTACAGTCTGATGAGACTTAAATTCTGTTAAACCCGAATATATTAAGCCAACGATCGGAAATCATCATAATCCGGAATAAGAAACCGCGGCTCGTTCAAGTGCAGTTCTTCTGCACGGCCCCTTCAATGCAATGGGCAGTTCAAACACCCGGGCTAGTAAAAAAAAAAAAAAGCTTTTTATGCTCTGTCAGCAAGAAAGCCAAAAAGTAAGAATGACCACCACAGGGATCACTTCGCAACCATTTACACACTTCTCAGCACCATCCCCGTGGAGCCCGCGCGAAAATTGCTAGCAGTGCGTTTTTGATTCGTCCCACGCCGCGATCCCGTAGTGTGTGGTCTCATTGAAGAACAGTGACCGAACACTTGGCAAAAAGGAACCTTGTCATCATCATTTCAACTTCCAGCTAATCCTTGCAGGAGTTATTATTGACAGCTGCCGGAGAAGGGATAATTTTGCAGTGAAATTCGAGACTCTGAAAGCATGATGCGCGCAGGTGAGAACAGCAGCAGCAGCAGCAATATTTGATCTTAATTCAATTTCATTCTGATCCTTCTTTCTCATTTAGGGCTGGTGCTGCTTTTGGCAGCATTGGTTCACGGAGAGCCTCTGCCGGATAAGCTCGAGGAATGTCCACAAAGTGCCGAATGCCTTGCACGAGATCTCTGTCAGGGCAATCAAGGTAACATTCATCTTCCTCTACAGACTCATACATTTAGAATGATAAACTTTCGACATAAGAGAATAATATCACGCGTTACTTGAAAAATCTAACAGGCCCGGAACGTGGTTCATGAATACTTAACAGCATTGAATCGTGAAAATATACTTATACCTTTCATTATCAATATTCGATAGTCGATTTATGCTATAAAAAATTACTCAAAAACCACATGAGACTGAAAATTCAGAGTGAACACTCGGATTCTTGCAGATTTAAAAGATACGAAATAATTTAATTTAAAATACAGGATTTTCATACGCATATACAATTTATGGAAAGGTCCACCGGGATTGACCTGAGCCAATTACAGTAATGTATTTGCGCAAATGGTAATTTATCGTTCAACACGACATAGGGATAAGAAAGACCCTTCAACTGCTGGAAAACTGGCTAATTTTTTCAACAACAAGAAAAAAGAATTACAATGATAAAAGGCATAATATGATTTGAGGTCGAGAATGTAAGACATGACAATTGAACCCAGCTACGAACTCAACGGGAAGAGGCAAACGAACGATCGAAAATACGAAAAATATGATCAACGAAGTTCGCCGAACAGATCAGCATAATAAAATGTGCAGCATAATAAAACCCTCTCCAAAAAGTGAAAGTCTCACTTTAAAAAAAATACAGCACAAAACAATGATAGTGAAAACGTTGGCCAAGATTAAAAAAAACATTTTGACTAGAATAAATGTGTTATTGAAACAACTTTTTTAGGATATTCTTAAACGCACAGCAACAATCTTCAGATAAAAAATTCTCATAAAACACAAACTCACCACGAAAAATTAATGCAGTGAAATTTGTCCGCGTCTCTTGCACCTTCAGAAAGTGAACAAATCGGAAAATTATCCACAGGGTTAAGGAAATTAACTTGATATATTGCCTATAGAAGCATAATTCTCAGTTCGTGCAATTGAAAAAAAAAGAATATTTCTTTTCGGAGCACTTCTTATGACTTCAAACGGAAGAAAACCCACTAAAAGTGAAGAAAAACAAGAACTGACATTTTTTCAGCAATGAACAGAACTTCGAAATTGATGGAAGAGTGCGACGAATCTTTTTCAGAACATGCACTTCGAAAACCATTCTAAATCGATGAAAAAAAAGTTACAATATTGTAGGCAATACAGTTGTCTTTCTTTCCTTACTAGGTAATTTCAACACGAAATTGTAAAAAGAAGAAAAAAAACGATACGATTTCATTCAATGGTATTAATGGTACTTCTCCCGTACAGCTAGACGATTATTTATACTGACTTCCTTGTGCAATAAATGTAGTCCGATTCATCAATTGAACCCACGGAAGACCATCACAATGCTAACAACAAGCATCAATACATTACTTCTCTCTTCATTACCATGCTTTTTAATCCGTTTTTCCTTTACAGGCATGGTCCTCTACAGCTTCAAAGAAAGAGAATTAGACGAGCCTGTCTATGCCTGTGGAATGGACAGCAAGAGCAGCGACGTTTGCTGCATCCTTCCCAACACGCCTTCTGAGGATGATGACTCACAGAGTGATGATGCAACAGAAGCTGACAGATCGAAACGAGAGGAAAACAAGAAGGAAGCTGAAGANAAGTGACTGAAAAAAAGCACTCTACAGGGTAATTCACGAACCACTCAACTCAACAAAGAAAACATCTTGGAATTTTAAAATGTAATAATGAACTTGGTGCCAAAGGAAGGCATGGAAGTGACAAGGAGAGGAAAAAAAAAATGCTGGGTATCATCCTGACAAACAAGTTTTTGTCTTGTAGGAAGGGAACCTCACGTTTTGATTTCTAGTCATAAAAAAATCAAAATGTAAAACATTTAATACTTGTGGAACAAACGGAAATGAAGAGGGCTGATTTCCTGAAAATGTTGTAGCTCTCTCCCACCTTTGACTCCATCATTCCAACAGAAAATACGGTACAGCCCTTATAATCTTAAGGATGACGCAAATTTTCTTCAATTCTCAGAGGTCAGCCAACAGTTTTAAAGCCACTTTCCTTATAAACACAGTTCACTTGCAGCTGACTGAATGATTTCCTTTTCATTTGAATTTTTTCAATTCACCAACCTTTCTTTGATATTTAATAGCATATTAAAAACACAACAGAATATTCCCCTTTTTCGCCCTTGCACACCCTTCACATTTGGAGACTCGACACCCGTCCTCGTTCCTGATCTGGATATTGCGAAGATCTCCCGCAACACTCGAGGGAAATGATGAACAAATGAAAATCACTCGGACAGC